CATTTATGGCATCAATACTTCTATTTTTAAATGTATACATCCAGGAAAATGATTATTGTGTCCGAAAAAGGAAAAAAGAAAAGGAAGTTAAGCAAAATGCGAATTTACTCGAGGACAGCGGATTTGAACCACCTACGTCACCACCTTGTAAATCTCACTAATCACATTGCTTTTTACCGTAAGGCCACCGGCACTCTGTAACACCGTCATGTGAAACTTAATGTAAATATAAATTTTACATTTAAAACGCTGATCTTTTAGTAATCTCAACTGCGGGCTCAAACGACTTGAGTCGCCGCTTGCCAATAGTCCGATTTTGAAGTGTCGCTCACGGCCAACTGCTCGTAAAGTGACTTGTTTGATGCTTGTTTGGTATTCCCGGAGCTGTATCAATGTTGGAAAGTCAGGTTCACAAGTGGGAACTGCAGCAAAAGAAGCTCAAGCATAAGTTCAATCAATCGATATGCTGTTTCTTCAATGGTGTAACTGGCACAGTGTATGTGTATGTTATTAGTGCACTGTTAAGTTTGTAATATATGTTTCTAGATACCTTGAATTGAGGATTTTTTTCTTAAAAATGCGTCCTGGAGTGAGGAACAGGAAGTTCTAAAGATGAGGATTGATATCACTCAAAATGAGTGTAATTGTCAGTTCTCAAAACAAGGAAGATAATATATGCACTAACAGTGAGTGATAAATACTGCCTAAAACTGATAACTGAGTCCTTACTTCAAGGTGACTAAAGTTTCTCATTGTAAGACCTATTTTTTTCAAAAGGAGTAAGTAAAGATCTCAAAAGAGAGCACTTACTTCTCAAAGATTGTTAAATAATACATCATCCCTATGTCCTTGAGACAAGGATCTTAACTCCAGGAAGTGGTTCTTTCTATCAATATTTTGTGCATGTAACACAGGTTAGCCAGGATATACTACAAACTCAACAACAACTTTTAATCTGACATAACAAACCCAAATTGTGCTTTCTTTAAAATGCTTTACAATATTTTGAACTTAAGATACATGCACAGCAGCAAGTTTTATTTTGAAGCAAGACTTAAGTTACACCTCACTTCATTTGATGTATATCAAATTAACAGCAAAGTGACATGGCTTTATACCTAACACCAATTCTTCAAGAAATGGCACAGCTACATGTTAATTAACTTAATATGCTGAAATTTTAACTATTCAATAAAAATCTTGATGCAGATTTACCAATACTAAAATAAACAGTATATAGCGGCTTCATGACAAACACAAATTCCTCAAGGAATAGGTATAGTAGCCTTTCCTTTGAATCATACTGAAGCTTACTCTTTCTCTTTGTCAAAAATCTTGCTACAGATTTGCCTGTACCTAAACGCTCGTCATAGAGGCTCTACACCTAGGACATATTCTTCAAGAAATTGATACAGCAACTTTTCTTTTGAATCATATTGAAGATTAAAACAATAATAAGTTGACAGTCACAACAACAATCCCTTTACAAGGATGAATATCCTTGCTGGTGTATGACTATAATTCTGTCAACAAATGGTTTATATTTAGTTTAAGATTCTTTACTCTGGTTCAGTAATTTTTTGTATAATAATCACATGATTGTAACTAAAGTAAAAATTACAAATGATAGCAGTTTACATTCAATGCTTATTCTTCTGGAAGTTATAAATTTAAGATATATTTTGACAACCACTTTGATTGTCATTTGAAATTAAACATTTTTGTGAATTAGATGCGACAAGGATATTCCTAATGCTTTATATTTAGGGTAAACTAGGAACACTCAAAACTGTGGTCTTGTTTCATGAAGAATTACAGATATTGAGTGTGTTGAAAGAAAAATTAAAGTAAAAACGTTTTTCAAATTATATTTAGTTATATTTCCTTGGGAATTTGACAAGCACAATTCCACAGATATTTCTGAAATTTTGGCAAGCATTTATCATAAATCTAGTTAGAAGAAGAACCTTTCTACATAGAATGAATACTTGCTAAAACCAAGGATTTGAGATATTAATATTATTTTATTCAATAGTGGAAATACCCTCAAAATGAGAATTCAAAGTCATATAATTCTTAAAACAAGGAATGTAAATCTTATTTTTAAAGGTGGTGTTCTTAAACTGAGGAACTTTCATTGGAGAGTATAAAATTCTTAAAAGCAGAAATCTTGATCCTTACATTTCAAGGAATTGACTCTCAAAATAAGGAAAAAATTATTGTTTTGAGTATCCCCTGACTAACAATAAGAATTCCAAAAAACAAAATTTAGAGTGGTGTGAACATCCTTGTACTTGTTTTTTCATCCTCGTGCTAATAATTATCTCAGAAGTGCGAAACAGGCTTCAAGGGTAGTACTCAGTTGCAACACAAGCATAGGCATAAACATAACAAGCTAATGTGCAGGTGGGCTCAGCTGTAACATAAACATGAGCACAAGCGCTCAGTCGATGTTATGTTAAATAGGGACATGTTTGGTATAAGCAGTATATAGTGCTTGCTGATTGCCTGAAAGACTTTTGCTTCTGTTTATCCTTATGCTTATGCCAACCAAGTCTTAACTATAGACAGTATAAGCATAAAAAGAAAGCAATGTTTTGATAATGTTATGCATATATGCTTATCCTTATGTTCATGCGTTCCATCCAGCGTATAAGCTTTTACATGCCTATCCCTATGCTTGCATCACAAGTAAATACTGAGCTCAAAACAAAACAGCACCCTTTTGAACTTTCATTCCACAAACCTTACAGTAAAATCTGGAACAGTGATTGTCTTGCACCAAATACTAATCAGGAGGCCTAATTTTGTTTCACATCATGTTCCTCATAATGCTCATTTACCAGTCTAACGATTCATACCTTAATTAGTATGGAAATCAAACACCCATTTCTGTTGACAACACAAATTACATTGGCTTATCCAATTCATGAGTTGGCTCACAGAGCCTTTGATCTCTATCTGGCTAACATTTTTGCTTTGGACTCAGAATAGAAATTTTACCAGCATATGTGGAGGCAATACTGAGTACAAAAGAAAGATAGCAAATTTGGTTAAATAGAATTGAAGAAAAACTTTATTAATCTCTCCAACCTAAAATATTAAGGCAAAATTTAAAAGTTCAGTGCATTGTATATGAAAACTAATGAGTACATGCTATATTTGCAATGTAAGAAATGAAATGAGTAATGCATTCTAGCGTGGTTTCAACAACAAGTTGATTTTCACACAACAATTAAAGAAATGATACTAAAACAAGTTAAAGACATTAAGAGTTTTATTTGTCAGCAAAAAAACTTTCTCCTACAATGAATTTCTTTCTGTAGAGAGATATTCCTTGCTTATGCTCATGCAGCATTTAGCATGCAAAGTTTCAAACTTTGTAAGCATTTGATAAAAACAATGTAATGTCTTAGTCTGTTGTTGTTGAGCTTCAATGTCAATACTTATACAATTATTCACCTCTGTATCAGTAAAAGTGGTGGATATTTATCCCTACTTTCGTGAATAATTGTTGACTATGGCAGCAGCTGAGGAACTAACAAGACAGCTAAAGTTACCAAGACATTAGTGCTATTCTAGGAGGTGGGATAAGTTTTTCCCCTTTGTAACTGCTTAGCTGGTGACCAATTGGCAGAGTGTGGCATAACTCCACAAGGTTTAATGTGTGATCATGAAGTCTTAATTTTGCCTCAAACTACATCTGACTTGACTGGAAGTTCCTAATGACCACTAACCATGCTATGATTCTGGCATGGACATGGAACTGATTTAGGTAAAAGACTGGTGCATGCTCTTTTGGATCATATACATTCATTTGATCATTGGCATAGCTGTATAACTTGCCTGGCATAACTTGCCTGGTCAGGAAAGATGTTTTTTTTTTTCTGTGTCAAGTGAAAAGTGTTAGTGTTGCAAAATAAATTCCAAATAAAATATCTCCTACTTTGGGAAGAAAGTGAGAGAAAAATTCTTTCTTCAACAGTAGTTTTGATATGGTATGATCATGTACAACTCTTACTAGCCAAGCATCTTATGTAGTTGTGGTTGTTTTTTTAGAAAAAAAGAAAGAGAGATGTGGATACATGTTTAATGTACTCATTTTCATAGGTAATAAAGACAGACCAGTTGGTATTTTAACATTCTTGTGATCAATCACAGCTTTCGTTCTAGGGCAATTTAAGGATGATCAAAACCTGAGCAGTATAGTGCAACTTCAGTTTAGATCATGACTCCTAGGATAAGTTAAACCAGAACTATACTAAAATCATGTCAGACTGGGTACAATATGTTACAAGTAATTTTTTCTCACAAATCATGAAACAAAATACTATGACCCCATAGGTATCAAAAGACAGACTTTCTAGTTGTTTTGATATGTTTGATCTGTTTAATTCAAAGAGGGCCTCTTATTTTTGTGCCATGGCAAATAGGTTAAGTGTACACTGACTCGAGTAGCCCATTTGAATGAAACTTATCATGCTGTTTAGTACCGTATTGTTTTCCATACATTTCCTCTTGTCTATTGGTAGAGTTTCCCATCAGTATGGTGGAAATGTTTTTGTTTCTATCCTCTTAACAAAAGACTCTAATATTTTTCTTGGTTAGTAATAACCATGGTAAGATTTTCTTTTTTTTTCCATGCTTTTGTTTTCTTCATTTACCCTTTAGCTCCCCCTTCCCTCAGGAGTGACAAGCGTTTTAATACAGTACCATAGGAAATGTACAGAACACTGACAGTGCAGAGAATATGCTTACTGATGCCAGGGTGTAAAGGGTTTTAAAATTGTCCTGATGTTAATGTGGCATGAAAATTAGTGTCCAGTCTCAGGGAAATGCCAACTGGTAGTTACTGGGTTTGGCCATTTTCAATAATAGGGGTGTGCTGATAATGATAGAAACACCATTCTATTAGAGTGTGGACGTATACATGCCCTTTGAATACTGGGAAATTTCCAGTGTATGCAGATTTAGTTTAAATTTGATCCATTTTTCAGTGAAATGATGGCCAAGAAGCTCTGGTAATTGCTCCACAAAGTCAAAGGTGACAAGAGTAATTAGGAAGAATCGACAATTGGAATGGTGTCAGTGAAGAAGGTGAAACCAACTCCACAAAATAAATGGACAGAACACAGGAAGTGGACGGTGAGGGGACTTGAATTGATCAGTAGAACAAATTCTGGAGATGAAAGGTCGCTAATCATACTAATTCTGGGACAATTGTTGGATAAAATCAACCAAGCTAATATCGGCTCTTGTCGATTATTAGCCGGAGATTAATAACTGTAACAGATGATAATAGACATCACGTAGCCTCGAACCGCCTAAGTGGTCTGCCCGTTAGCGGACATCAGACAGTCAATGTCAATACATCGATGCGGAGAACTACTCGTTGAATTCTCTAAAGATTTTTTCAAGCCAATAAGATACCATGATCGATACAGTCGGGAGACTTTAAGAATCGAGGAAATTAAGAAAAAAAACTGTCCGCTATCGATATAGAACGCGCAAGTCTCACTGGCTTTAGCTGATACAATCTTTCTCTCTCTCTAAACCCTTGCTTGTTAGTTGTCAGTTTTCTATTTCGCCTCACTGTTTATATCCGCCTAACAACTTTAGTGGAACTGAAGGGGTCGTGTCTTCCATGAGCATTGTATCGGCCTTGCCAAGATGTGATATATGCCCGGCCTGAACAGCGTCTCTTGAACAGCATTTTTTTTTCATTATTTTTTTTTCCCCTTGAGGTGATTGTGACCTATTCTTTATGTCGTGCCTTTACGACTCCGGGGTCGCTGAACGAAACAGTAGGTTTATTCAGTGTTCAACAGAAATTGAAGTTGCCCCAGAAATTGTGTCAGCTACAGTTCTTTCTTTTGAAAATTTTTTCTCTATGTGGATGCACTGTCTTTTATTTTAACATTTTAACTGGATTTGTATTTCAACATTCCACTTGACTGATCGCAAAATGTTTAGCTGTCTATTCCTGATCGAATGGCTAACTGTTGTGTAAGTCCAGTTTTTCTTTTAACTTGATTAGGCGCTCGCCATTTCAGTGATTATACAGCGATTATTACATAAGAGAAAGTTCAAATTTCTTCTTTCTTTTCCTTCAACTGAGTGTTAATGGGATATTTTGCCGTTTTGTGATTGGCTCTGCTGGGTTTTGGGTGCTTCACAGCATCTTCAGCCGTGTAAGGTGTTGCCGTTCCTTCCGCTTGACCTGTAATTGGATCCTTTGCCCCGTGGTAGGTTCCTTTGCCAGATGCTTTATGTTTACCAGCATCCTTGAAAAGTGGTCGCTAAGGACCATACAACTTGCCTTTCATCGCGATCTTTATTGTGGCAACCACTCACTTGACCCCCAGACTTTCCAATCGCATCCATGCCCATCCCATCTTTCCTTGTTCATATATGCAGTTTCCTTGGAACTACCTGTGATTTGTTTCTCCGACTTGTGGCGAACGCACGTATCGCCTCCGCATGTGCACGATGACAGTCCTGCACGATGACAATCTTCGTCACTACGGCAACCTTCCTTTGCGAGAGAACATTCGAATTCTGGATATTCTTCCTTTGATCCTCTGGTGTAGTCGAATTTTTGAACTTTGACAGAATGGATTTTGTTGTAGTGACAATCATAATTCAAGTATCCACCGCAGTAGTACTCGAGGTTTGTATCTCGGACGTAATTCGGAGATCCTGGTTTGAAGCGGCTTTGTAATATGCTCCAGATCGCGATGAAGGTATGCTGGACAGGCGAAGGTGACTGTTCAGCTTCATTCATAAGTTTCTCAATTAGTTCAGCCGACGTCTCTCCATTTGCCAGCTCGCTATTCGTTTCCCGCTTTCCTCCCCTAACGAATCGTGTCTCGCTAACACTCATCTTGCTTGCCTTAGATAGTTCACAACTTGTCACGCTAACGCAAGGATCAACACCAAGCTTTCCAACAGACGTGGGACCTGCAGCCGAGAGACAGGCTTTCACTTGGAAATCTCTCTCGCTATAAGATTCAGAGCTCTCCGCAAATACCATTCGCTGGAACTTTGATCCGCGCTTCACAGATGTTATAACGTGAGAGCCGTATTTATCTAGGAAAGTACGATAGGCTTTCCAAGAATTGTGAAGCCAAGGATTCTCAATCTTTAATGGCAATTCTAAATATTCCATGAATTCTTTTTTCAGGGTGGATTTTTTGGCACTCGCGAGGCATTCTTTATCGACGTAAATCTGTCAACGCCTGCTTGATCAAAGACACGCCACTCACTTCCGTTTTCTCTGAGCATTAATTTTTGCTCTTTGTTGCCACTGATACAGTAGCGCTCAATGTGAATACAGAGGTAAACGAGGCACTAAGGCTTGACTCGGTGGCCAGTGACTTACACAATTCCTTGGTACTTTTGTAATAATCAAACTTGCTGCTTGACGACCTCAAGGATTTCTTTGTAATGCATTCTGATGAAAGAGGATCGAAGATTCGATTCTCTCTTTCATGAAAGTCG